CCTCCTCCTCCTCCTCCTCCTCCTCCTCCTCCTCCTCCTCCTCCTCCTCCTCCTCCTCCTCCTCCTCCTCCTCCTCCCCTGGTGGCGAGGAAGACGGCCTGAAAGCGGATCCTGGCGGCCCCAGCCTGGAGGAGACGCTCAGATGACACGATGCACTGCCACGGGTGCGTACATCTGGTGTTGGCGTTGTGGGGCCTACGTGGCCGTCAGGGTGGGGCCAACCTTTCGAACCCCCTGCCCTGGTCCGCGCGATCCTCCGCCAAGCCGTTGCCGTGCTCGGGAGAGCTTGATTGCCGGGCGTCATCCCAAGACAGGTAAACCCTGGAGGTTCCTATGCCGTGAGCCGCGGATCCTGTTGGTGTATTCCGTCGGCACCATGCTGATGTTTCTTGAATCCTCGCTAGCCTGCTGTCGTTCAGCTGGACGGACGGCATGTGGTCGGTGCGCCCTCGTCCTCCCCCTCCTCCTCCTCCTCCTCCTCCTCCTCCTCCTCCTCCTCCTCCTCCTCCTCCCTCCTCCTCCTCCTTCCTCCTCCTCCTCCTCCTCCTCCTCTCTCCTCCTCCTCCTCTCCAACTCCTCCTCCACCTCCAAACTCCTCCTCCACCTCCTCCTTCCTCTCCTCCCTTTTCTCCTCCTCCTTCTCCTCTCATTTCCCCATCTCTCCCTCCTCCTCCTCCTCCTACCCTCCTCCTCTCCTCCTCCTCCTCCTCCTCCTCCTCCTCCTCCTCCTTCCTCTGCAAAGGGTACGGCCAAACAGGCAGCGCGGATACGTGCGGACCACGATCATGCCCCACTGGAAGCAAACGACCTTCGGGGGGGGGCGAGCTCCTCCCTCAGAGGGGGGCGCCGGCCGTACGCCTGCGCACTCTGCGGGCAAGGCCGCTCCCGGGCCTGCCACCTCCTCATCCTCCTCTTCCTCCTCCTCGTCCACCCTCCTCCTCCACCCTCCTCCTCCACCCTCCTCCGACGTCCTTTTCCTCCTCCTCCGTCTCCTGCCCCTCATTGACCTAATCATCCTCCTCCTCTTCCTCCTTCTCTTCCTCATCCTCACCACCACCACCACCACCACAATTACCAAAAAAACCTTGTGAACCATACGATTAGCCAGCGTAGACCCCGAACATTGTGTTTCTAAAATGTGTGGTGTTCTCTCTGTTGATCGATATAATGAAGTGCACTCTATGCGGGGCACTCTATGCGGTGTGATATGTGTGGTGCACCGTATGTTGTGCGATATACGTCGTGCCATCTACGATGTTGTACGATATATGTGCATACATAGATATGTTGCACAATGTGTCTAGAGTACTCGATGTTGTGTAGTATAGATAGTGATGTGCAATACTATGATGTGGTCCAAAATATTTGCAACTACTTGTGCGTGTATATATATATGTGTGTATGCGTGGTACAATATATAATATGAAATCTGCGTGAAACAATAAACGTAGTGCTATATATATAACCCTTTTACGCCAAGACCAGAACAACTGGAATCGTATGAAGATGCTGCCTAGGGAGCATCGCCTGCCTAAAGACTGGGACCGAGCGAGTCAGACAAGTAATAGTTGTCAAAAGCCGCGAGGGCCCACAACCCAAAAGGAAGCGGAGGAGGAATGGAGGCAGGTGGACCCTGAAAAACTTGAGCCGTAAGTTTACGGATCAGAGCATGTCGTATGAAAAGCCATCGTTAGCTTCACAACCCTTTGGCCCCGAAGCGTTTCAGACGAGAGACGGCCCAGGCTCCAGAAGTACCCCATTCTTAAAGCATTCCCTTACGCCAAGACCAGAACAGCTGGAATCGTATGAAGATGCTGCCTTGGGAGCATCGCCTGCCTAAAGACTGGGACCGAGCGAGTCAGACAAGTAATAATTGTCAGCAGCCGCGAGGGCCCACAACCCGTCCCCAGCACCAGAGAGCTGTTCTAGTGGGGGAGAGGAGGGAGGGAGGCGACGACGGAGGAGGAGATATCGTTACAAAGACACGTGGGATATGGCTCTGCTCGCCAGGTCCAGAACACCCCTGAAGCATCCTTGCCTTCCAGGGCCTGGTGGCGGCGGCCAGTGCGCCGACAAACTCTTCCTGTGCAACGGCGTCCCCACGATTCCATTCCTCGGAGCGTGCCGAGGAAGCGAGTACATTTCCTCCAAGGCATTCCAAACATGCAGTAGTCTAAAACAACGGACGACGCGCTCCTTTCAAGGTGTTGTATCTCACTCAAAAGCCAGAGACGGGACGTGCGAGGGTTCTCAATCACCCAGGGGATACTGTGCTTAGTACAATCACATGCGAGACTACACACAATGCGCACCAATATGTTAGCAGTCTGTACACGTGCAATCTTCTTAGCATCAAGCTCAAGGAGGCCTAAGTGAGTGTTAGAACGGAGGGGGCGAGGCCCATTCGGCCGATCTGTGGCCCAGGAAAAAGTGTTACAAGGAACACCGAACCACATGAAACATAGGGAACCAGACCGATTTTTTCACGCAGGTGCCTCACTACCTCCGGCCGAAGGAGGTCGCCACCGGGTCCGTCGGCCACATCGCAGGCCTCGGTGGGAATACCGGCCCTCGTCAGCCCGCGCGCCAGCTGCCCAGATCCAGAGAAGATCTCGACGGCCCATCTCCGTTTCAGGAACGGGGCGCTCGCAGCAGTCGGCACGGCTGTCCACGGAGAGCACCCTCGATGGGGGATTCGGTAGCCGCGGTGGAGTCCAGGATACTGTTGGGACTTCTGGCGAGAGCTTTTTGCATCGCACTGCGCCTCACGTATCTTCTCACTCACAGGAAGGTGGGCCTCCTGCCGCGCTCCACGATGTCTGGCACCAATCGGCGAACGGAGCGAGCACGTCGACGGAGGTCGCTGCGGCGAAACTGGTAGCTGGTGAGGTTCCAGCTCTCGAGCCAGAGGTCGGGGAAGGCCGGGTCGAGGAACCTCCTGCAACCCCTGGGCGTTGTCACGAACAGTAGCTCGCGTGGGGAGCGCTGGTCCCTTAGCAGCGGCAACACCTGGGCCGTCGGGAAGAACCAACCCGCCAGCGTGACTACATCGCCCAGCACGCTTGTCTTGGTGGGAATGTTGGCGCCCGAGGAGTCGAGGATGAGCACGACGCGCGCGTGGCTGCGACGCCAGCTCACCGGCGGGGCGAGACCCGCGGCCCGGAGCCGCGTCGCCTCTCCAGTGCGCAGGTACGCCTCGTGCATCACCAGCCTCCCCTGGGCGCTCTCGAGCCCCCCGCGCCCGACCATCGCCCCCACGATCGCGGCCTCCCACACGCGCGGCAGCTGGAAGTGGCAGGCGACCAGAGCTGCCTGCCACCCATCCAAGTACAGGAGGTTCGTCCACTGCACCAGGGCCTCGCCCACGACCTCGTCCGCGCTGAAGTCGGAGCCGTGGACGGCCGCGAAGTCCGAGAACTCCCCGCATATCTGGACGCAGCGGGGGATCGACTGCTTCCCGACCGATTTCATCTCGAGGGGGCTCACCAAGATTCCTCTCACCTCGAGCTCCTCCCGGAGTTGGCGACCCCCTGCCACAGCGGGACGGCTGCTGGCGGGCCCCAGTAGGCGACCAGCAGATGCCACGCCATGGGACCGCCCGAGTCGGCTCGGGGGGAGCAGCCGCTTCACCCACCGTGAACTCCGCAGCTGGTGGGCCAGCGCCCGCCCCTCGATGAAGCTTAAGACGGGCAAGCCCACGCTCGCGGCTGCGGCGGGCGTCTGTGAGATCACGGCGGGAGGCGGCGTCGGCGACATTGATCTCTGAGGGAATCCATCGCCAGCGAACCGTCATGTCCATGGCGACGGTGAGGGCTGCATTTTCCTACACAACATCAACAGGCCGAAATTGTCAGAACGCCCCTTGGACATAGCGAGGATCATCCCCAAGTTGTCACCTATCTTGAGACGCCGCATGCCGCGGTTGGCCACCGACCGACAGGTACGCCGCACAGAGATCAGCCCCGCGCGGCCCTCCAGCATCGCGATGTGCTCCTCATCCCTCCAGCGCCCGACAACACACTCCCGCCACTCGAAATCCTTGAAGATGGACGTCGGGACCTCTGGAAAGTCCTGCGCGGGTTGCCAGCGCCGTCTGGACCAGTCACGGGGGGGCACGGTCTCAACGTTGGAGAAGCACTCCTCGACAGGAGGAGCCGTCCGAAGGGCATGCTCACGCGGTCCTCCCGGTTGCTCATACTGACAAGCATAACGCCAACGCTCATCAGTCTCCCCGATCTCCGACACCACCTTCTCCGGCAAGGCCGCGGACAGGATGCCACACCCCGCTGGGTTGGCGTCGAACACCTCCACCTCGGAAGCCCAGGGCCGTCGCACATTCGCCCTGGCGAAGGGCAGCATGGCAGCAGCCGCGCGGAGCTCCTCGGCAGCCGGACGCCAAAGCCGCCGTGGTCGGAGGCAGTGGCACTTCACAAAGGCGTAACAGCTGCGGAAAATCGAGAGCAACGGCCTGTGCCCCAGGAACTGGAAGGTAGCATGGCCCAAGGGCCGCTCCAACTGGCGACCACTGAGCCAGGGTCGCTGGCGGCTCAAGCGGCGGCAGACCTGGCGAAGCCGCCAGGCCTTGGTGGGGCTAGGGCGATGCTCGCCCGTCAACCCATCGATCGCGAACCCCAAGGACTCGGCCCGGCGCCGCGCAGCTTCCTCCTCATGGACCTCGAAACCGAGCGAGGCGAGCCTCCGCTTGCAGTCCTCGCGGAGGGCATCGGCCTGAGCCTTGGAGGACGCAGCTGCCACGAAGTTGTCGCAGCACGGCAGCGCCAGCTCGGAGCCCGCCCGAAAAGGGGGCGGAGGGGCGCGATCCTGCATGACCGCGCCCGGGGTCCAGTCCCTGATCTGGCTGACATCGCGGGCGCTACGGCGTCGGCGTTCCAGAGGTACCCAAAGGCGGGATCATGATTGGTAATCGATTTCAACTCTTCACCAGTAACGTCATGAAGGCAGAAGAAATTCTCGAGCCCCGGCGGCAGCCCGCACGCGCAAAAGTAGTCCTTCACGTCACTTAGAGAGAGATACATATCAGCGTCCGTGTCCATCACGACGTCGGCCCAGGACGACCCCGAGCCCATCGGAACGTGTGGACACTCTCGGAAACGGGCATTGACACGCCTACAATCAATGACGAGGCGCTGTTTGCCCGACTTCTTCCGCACAAAGAACACCGAAATCCTGCCTCGAACCTGGTCGGCCCGTCGCCAAGCGAGAAGCCCACCTCTGAACAGGTCCCCAATGAAATTGAGATAGCTGCGTCGACTGAAGCAAAGCCGAGGGTCCATATAGGACCCGATGTGCTCGAGACCCCGCTCCACCTCCGCCCCCCACTGGTCGTCGTCCTTGAGCAGGTGGGCGTCAAAATCTACGATCATCTCTGCGGCATCTGGCGGTAGCACCTCGGTCAGCGGGACGGGAACCCGCCTTTCACCAGGGATAGACTCCAGAGCACGGTCGTAGGGAACCACTGTCAAATCATCGTCCCCAGAGTAAGGGACTCCACTCCCGTGAAGCGCACGCATGGCTTCCTCGTCAGAGGCCACCTCGGATGGCGGCCGAAAAGAGTTGAGGGTGTCATACAGGTGGCCAACCGTGGCGCGCTGGCCCAGCGACGAAAACTTCGCGTTGGTCGCAGGAGAACCCGCGAGCCAGTTGAGGGCCCAGATGCTGTCGTTCACCTCATCAGTTAGTTGACGCCGAACTTGGACACGTTGCCGAACACCCCACGAAAGATGAGCGCCTGCAGCGGGCTCCTGAGGCACGCAAGGTAGAGGAAGAAGCCCTCGCGGGACGCCACGC